GACAAGTATCGATTTCGTTAGGTCGTGCCAGCAATAACACTGTAGCAAGCTGTGGCTCTTTGCCGTGGTTTTGAAAGAAAAAAAAATAAGTCTGCGAAATTTCCCGACGCCAGTCCATACTTCGGTAACACGCTCTCACCATTCCACCTCCTATCTCTAACCTCAACCCTCGACAATTCCTCCCCCGGAATAGGGCCAATTGGCATTCAACGCCTACCCGTGCATCGCTAATTGATCGCTCGTCTCCTCTCACAAGCGTTTGCGCCCTAAACCGGCCCAATGTCTAGCACTTCAGGAGTCAACGTATGATCTCTTGTGCCGCATGCCCGAGCTTCACCACGGCAAAGCTAACAGCAATGTTTACAGGTACTCCGGTACTCGGCCCTTGCCCTGGGTGTTTTCTACGGTTTTACGCACCAGAGATCGATCAACGCAGCGCAAAAGGCCGCCGCAGCACAGAAGGAATATGAGCACAAGCAACACTTAATAGAGCAAGCCAAGGCCGAGTATGCAAAGTCCAAGAGCCCGGCTGGTACAACGACAACTGAGAAGAGCGCCTGTATGTTCACCTATTCTCAAGCAGAAAGCAGTCATCTGGATACTGACAGCTGCATCATAGTGAACCAAGACCCAATGGATCCCAAGTTCGACCTAGAAGCCTACCTCAACGCCCTCGCTGCGCAAAACCCATAAGGATGTAATAATAATGCCGGGTCGACTGCGTGCGGAATGCGATGGAGTATGGGGGCAGAGAGGGCTGGGAGTTGAACTCGGGGCTGAACCGATAGCTGGATCGAAGTCGTGCCTGTGACGACGGCTTCGGCGGCTCTGTGTATAATTGCGATACGGTCGGCAAAACCACCTCATAGATTTCCTTGGGTTTCACGCTGTACATGTGTACAATACCAAGACTTATGCTCACTAGACCATTGGGGATGACCGGATCATGAATGACGTTCACGGTACGGCCTTCTGCGGCTAAGTTCGATTTCCTTGAGTGATTTTTACCCTTTACTCATTGATATCTACACCTCGCATACTCTACGTATTTCCCTATATGCCAAAGAGGAACTCCACAGAGATTTGCTCGAATAGGCCCTCCATGCCGTAGCAACTTATTAACTCACACAGGAATAGTCGTAGATGATCTTCTAAACCGGAAGATGAAGTTCGGACACCTTTTTAATGAGATTCTCGGGTTGTTCACGGAACACACATTCCTACATCGACTCGGGATATTAAAAAAAGGGGAAAAAAAACTAACAAAAGGAAGAAAAAAAAATAGATTTGTCCTATGAGTAGATTAGAGACATTGAGATCACAACTTAATAAGAGCTTTAATAGTATAGTCTGATAGGACTGACGTCTAGTGTGTAGGATGAATGCAGATATTAGAACTTGCATGTGCTAAAATACATCATTGTATGTATTTTTGGTGTTGGCACGGATGAATAGGTACTCATGTATCATGTACTTACTGTTTTAAATGTATACTGTCCTTTCTCTTTTCTGATTGGTTAGCCTTGCTGGCTGTCACTTGCATACGTAATGGCGTGAACTTTATCTTTACGCTTCGTACCAAGTACATGTACCCTGAATTGAATTTACATATACGTACATGTATACTAAGGTACGTAGGACCCCTGCAGACGTGGAGCTCTTTTTGCAGATGCGACGCGCGGATTCAAAGCTCCAGCTGTCCTCAAATCACAAATCACCACTTCCGCCGTTTTATCCATTGCGGCCGAGTTTGACAAAATTCAATTTCCCAAGACACTTCACGTTCTCAAATGTTGACGCCGTTTACAACTTAGTTGCATTGTCTCGAGGTAACCATTAGGTACCCAGAATGGCGGCTGTCGCAAGAGACGCCAGGCCTAGACCTTCGCCTGTCGAGTTATTCGTCAACGTCGGCAAGAATCAGAGCACCAAGACTCTGTTACGGGTCATTATTCTCGGCTTCATTGCCGCCGCTGCTGTTGCAAGTCGACTATTCTCAGTCATCCGTGCGTTACTTTTTCTTTTATTATTTAGGATATTTGCTAACTGTTGATCATAGGTTTCGAGAGTATCATCCATGAATGTTAGTTAATTTCCCTTCCTAATATACCCTACCACCCGAATCCCTTCTAATTAGGACATGGTGCAGTCGATCCGTGGTTCAACTTCCGAGCAACAAAGTACCTCGTAGCTCATGGATTCTATGACTTCTGGGACTGGTTTGACGATCGAACATGGCATCCCCTCGGTCGAGTTACCGGAGGCACACTCTACCCCGGCTTGATGGTCACGAGTGGTGTTATCTACCACCTCCTACGGGCCCTGACCGTTCCCGTCGACATTAGAAACATCTGTGTCCTTCTGGCACCCGCCTTCTCAGGCCTGACTGCCTTTGCCGCCTACCTCCTTACCAATGAGATGACCACATCCCCTTCTGCCGGTCTTCTCGCCGCAGCTTTCATGGGCATTGCCCCAGGTTACATCTCGAGATCCGTGGCTGGTTCCTACGATAACGAGGCTATTGCAATCTTCCTCTTGGTGTTTACCTTCTACCTCTGGATCAAAGCTCTGAAGCTAGGTTCCGTGTTATGGGGTGCCCTCTGCGCTCTCTTCTACGGCTACATGGTGGCTTCGTGGGGTGGATATGCCTTCATTACCTGTTTGGTCCCTCTACATGCCTTTGTACTCATCTGTATGGGCAGGTTTAGCATGCGCCTCTACACCTCGTACACTACCTGGTATGCTCTCGGTACTTTGGCTAGCATGCAGATTCCATTCGTCGGTTTCTTGCCGGTCCGCACCAGTGAACACATGCCTGCTCTAGGTATCTTCGGGTTCCTTCAGCTTGTGGCATTCCTGGAATATGTTCGCTCAGCTGTCCCAAGCCGTCAGTTCCAGACCTTCCTCTACGTCGGCTTGGGCGGTGTCTTTGGCATTTCACTACTTGCCTTGATTGGCCTTACCACCTTTGGATACATCGCTCCTTGGTCCGGCCGATTCTACTCTCTATGGGATACCGGCTACGCCAAGATCCACATCCCGATTATTGCGTCCGTATCTGAACATCAGCCTACCGCTTGGCCGGCCTTCTTTTTCGACCTCAACATGTTGATCTGGCTCTTCCCCGCCGGTGTTTACCTCTGCTTTCAGAAACTGGAAGACGAGCATGTGTTCATCATCGTATATGCCCTCTTTGGAAGCTACTTCGCTGGTGTAATGGTGCGATTGATGCTCACTCTGACACCGGTGGTTTGTGTGGCCGCTGCCATCGCTGTCTCTCAACTTCTTGACGCATACCTTGTCGTTAAATCGCCGGAGCCGACTGACAACGAGGAGGAGAACCCCGATGCAACTGGAAAGAAGGCATCGAGACACGGAGTTTTACGGACCGCATCCCAACCCGTAGTGGGCATTTACAACTTGTTGTCAAAGGGCTTCGTGGCTGGATGCATGACTTTGTACCTCCTGATCTTTGTACAGCACTGCACCTGGGTCACCTCAAATGCTTATTCGTCTCCCTCCGTAGTGTTGGCAAGCAGGATGCCAGATGGGAGCCAGCACATTATTGATGACTACCGTGAGGCTTACCAATGGCTCCGACAGAACACCAAGGAAGACGCCAAGATCATGTCTTGGTGGGACTACGGCTACCAAATTGGTGGAATGGCTGATCGCCCAACTCTCGTCGACAACAATACCTGGAACAATACTCACATTGCCACCGTTGGCAAAGCCATGAGTTCTCGGGAAGAAGTCAGTTACCCAATTATGCGCCAGCACGAAGTTGACTACGTTCTTGTCGTCTTCGGCGGTCTTCTCGGCTACTCGGGTGACGATATCAACAAGTTCCTCTGGATGGTGAGGATCGCCGAGGGTATCTGGCCTGACGAGGTCAAGGAACGTGATTTCTTCACTCCCAGGGGCGAGTATAGGGTTGATGACCAAGCGACGGACACCATGAAGAACAGCTTGATGTAAGTTTTTATCCCGTGAGGATCTAATTAACCGATCTTTTTTTCTGACGATTTCCCTTCCAATTTAGGTACAAGATGTCATATTACAACTATGCGTCCCTCTTCCCACCCGGACAGGCTCAAGACCGTGTCCGAGGTGCCCGGCTTCCCGATCAAGGCCCAGTCCTCAATACGCTGGAAGAGGCGTACACCAGCGAGAACTGGATCATCAGGATCTACAAAGTGAAGGACCTCGATAACGTAGGCCGAGACCACGCGGCAGCTGCCTCGTTCGAGAGAGGACACAAGAAGAAGGCAACCAAGAAGCGCGGGCCTAGGATTCTCAGAGTAGATTAATGAAACTAAGTGGTCTAGATGTGAAGGATTGCGTTGAACAGGAAAGCAGGGAACTATGTGATATATAAGCTGGCTCTCATCACTTCATACGTGCTGGTTATGACGGGGAAAGCAGCTGGAGGTCAATGGTTGGCCATGTACAGGTATTCAAAATCCGAGGCAGGAAAAAAAAAAAAAAGAATACATTCCCTAAAAGATCCGTACATGTGTTCAGACATGTAGACGGAGCAATGGCTTTGTCAAACTTGACCGAGGATCGCAGCCTATCCGATGAAGCATAGAATCACTGTTGGGAGCATGGGTAAATGAGTTCAAGGACTTCGAAGCTACAGCTCTCAAACTTACCTTCTATCCCCGGCAAATTCTTATGCTTCCAATGTTTGCTACGTTCACCACCTCTAATATTATTTTCCTTTTCCCACTGTAACCCAAACTTCTAAAGTTGGATTGAAATCCCGATATATATTAGACGAATCTAGGTAATGATAGCAAGCGGATGATCGCCTCGCCTACCCCACATCTCAATGGACACAAATTTTTCATGTGAATAGACCACCAACCTAGGTTGAGAAAATAAAATAAAATAAAATACCTAACAGTAAAAAAAAAAAAAAAAAAAAAAAAAAAAGTTGAAGGAGATCGGCAAGCAAGCACACCTTATATACATACACAAGTAACAAAAAGCGATGTTGCCCCCTACTGGAATCGAACCAGTGATCTCATCATTTACTATTACTAGTGATGCGCTTTACCACTGAGCCAAGAGGGCTGGATGTGTTCAAAATGTAGCGAAGCCAGCTGGGCCTCACGACCTTATTGACAAATTTTGCGCACAATTTTGCATATATCCCAGACTTTCGTGGGTTACCCTAGCTTAGTACCCATCCTATGTCGTGCAATTACCTAATTAACCAAGCTGGACTACGATGTCACTTTAGGTATATACTCTTTTTCATCCCTTAGTAAGAATCCCTCGACTTATAATGCGATAGACTTTATGATGTGATATGAATTCCTTATTTCTCGTTCTCATTCGGCGACTCCTCGCTAATTGGCAATTCTATCACTCAAGTGTAGTATGAATTGTATTGTATTGTGTTGTATTAAAAATTAAGAATTAACTACCTAGGTACCTAGGTAGACATTAAGCATTAAACAGTCTAACGGCGACTTCGTCAACAACATTATTGAGAGCTATTTTGTACAACCTGCAGCTAAAGAATGCAATCCACGGGGTTCGTGTCACGAATCAACACCCCGTATCCTCGGAATCAACGAAGTCCGTACAGTACAGCAAGCTAAAATACAAGCAATTCTCCTCCACCTCGCCGAACAACTACTGACAACGCCTCGAACCGCTAGAGTCCGGCAGTATAAACACGTGAAGGAAGTAGTTGAAGGTAAAGATGGGTGAGAATCAAGATGTCGACGGTGTGCGTTAGAAGCGCACACCAATGTCGACACGGTAGAATCTCCTGACAAATGTTCGTGGTCGTTGATGCGGTGACTCCTGTGGCATGGTGTCCTAGACGTTGCAACGATGGAGGCGCAACCAGGTTAGTAAAATTAGTAACAGTAACAACGACGAGCGTGTATAGCATCTACAGGCGCGAAGGCCGACGGATGCGGCGGCGTCTGCCTTGGACACTTGAGTTAGCCTGGTCGCCCGATCGCAAATTCTCCATCGAATGGCCCGTGTGGACCACCAAGGAGGAATCAGCATTCGGAGACACCTGATTAGAGGAGCTACTCGATCCTTTCACACCAGACTGGTGCGCCTTCTTCTCGGATGCTTTCTTTGAAGACTCGGATCGGTCGCCTCGACGTCCTTGAGTGGCGCGATTCGTCGAAGCGGTTCGGCCTCGAGTACGAGCGGCTGCTTTGCGATTGAGATCATCTTCACCGGAGAATTCTAGATGTCGGGTTAGCTGCATCATCTAGTCCTCCGGGTACATTGGCTTTTTATTTGGATGCTTACCAAGTCCTTTGACCGATCTCTTCGGGTCAACTGCTTCACTCCCGTCAGAACTTTCAGCTAGTTCAAACATAGTAGTATTAGGAATGTTAGGGTTGGGTCCTTCGTTAGGGTCGCACGCCTTGACCGAAAGCTGTGTTCGCGTCACGAAGGTCCGAATAGAGAACTGGGAGGGACTAGAACTACCAAAGGGATTGGCCATGCCACTGAAGTGCTTACCAGCCGCGGCCTGATATTGCTCAGCCAACTCCTCAGCGTCTCGCTCCACGTCGGACATGTTCTCACTGGATCTCCAATAATGGCCCATAAAATATGGGTTAGAAGCCCGACTGGCATGCGAAATATCCGTAGGCGTAGGCGGCAGATCCCATTTGAAAGTATAGTTAGGGTCATCCGGTGTATCCGGTTCAGTGTCCGTTGCGCGGTCCATTTCCGAGTCTCGGGCTCCATGATGAGGGGTCGCAGTGCGGTCTTGGTGTCGTCGGACTCGCCTACGATTAGAATGTCTTCGCCGGTCAGGTTCCGGATCTCGAATAGGTTGCTCGGGTCCAGCCTCTGTGTGTGCAGGTGTTTGCTGCTGCTCGTAAATGCGCCTATCCTCACGAGTGGGCCAGTATGTGTCAGCCCAACCATGGACTCGGCGGTTTTGTTTCTTGGACCAAGGATTTGTGTCGTGGGCTTCGGAACTAAAGGTCTTAGGCGTCTCCCTGGCCGCACGAGAAGAGTTTGCGTGACTATGATCATCGCCCACGACCTTAGGTGCTTCGCCACGAATTTTGTAGTCGGGGCATCCCGTTTCTTCCGAGTAATCTGAGACGCTCTGCACAGAAGCCTTGGGTTTAGGCGTGGGTTTTACCTCGAGAGAGGGTTCGGGAAAGCGTGGTTGTGGAGTTCTAGAGCGTCCCCCAGTGGGAACTTTGGGAGACGTCGCATTGTAGACATCGCCGCGAGAATCGTTCGGTTCGCGCACCTGTGCAGTCCCTGTCAGTTTATCCTCATTGAGATTGGCCGCCGAGCTAAAACTTGCGACGCGGATGTCATTTTTGAGAACTGGTCCCTTTTCCTCGCTACGACTAATCCTTCGAGAACGTCTGGATGCATCAGGCCTTGACGCGGGCTCCTTGCCATTGGTCTCGTGGGAACCATCTTTGACAGAAGACATCGGTTGCCCTTTCCGGTTTTCAGCCCTCGAGTTCATGATAGATGCTGAACCTCTAGAGTCCGACTGTCCAGTAGAGGATACAGGCGTGGGTGGGCTAGGATGATGCTCCGAGACAGTCGAATCAGATAGGACGCTTGGCAACAAGCTGGGCCGTCTCGGTCTTTTCGACCCCAACTTTCCAGAAGTACTACGACTCTTTAGTTCCTTCTTTTTGCTCGGCGGAGAATGAGGTACATCGGTGTCGGTAGTAGACACAGCACCTTCACTGGCGGACTAAAGTCTGGCTGTTAGCTTTGAACCCCTTCTACCAACTTGTCTAGTGACGTACCTGGGCAACGGATGCGTTATCGATCTCGTCACTTTCCATGGAAGCGGCATCACGCAGGCATTTGGCGCAATAAGCTGGTTCAGGTATTTGACCTCTTTCCAAAGGATGCGCCCTCTGATATGCCTTGGATCGTACTCTTCCGCAACCTGCACAGTGGTTGATATGCTGGATGTGCTTGCCGATGCTTCTCTGATCCTCGGCTTCATTCTCCTTCTTGTTCTTTACCTTGCTTGTGCTACCGTTTGTTCCTTGTGCACCAGCTTTTAGAGCTGCATTATAATGCTCTTCGCACTTCCTAGCCTCATTAGGACTAAACCTCACGGGTTTGTTTAAGGCTCCGGTGCTTCCGCCACTGCGCAGTTGGCCAGGTGGGAATTTTTGATACGTGAGTTGAGACGCAGGCAGAGATGCCGGGCCCGATACAGGTCCGGAGATGGGGTAGGTAGGAGATATAACTACAGGTTGCTGAACTGTAGACTGACTCTGTTGAACGTAAAGGGGGATGGAGGACGGTTGGGAAACTGGAAGGACCGATGCCTGTACATAATGATGACCCGGCGGCGTGGGAGTCACCGGCTGTATCCATAGAATACTACCAGTATTAGGTGTCTGGACAGCAAATCCTTGACTACCAGCATTTGGAGTAACTGGGACGTTGGGTGTCGTAGGTAAGCTGTTACCAAAATTCTGTGTTGAAGGCAGAGGACGAGACGGAGGTGGCATTGATGTTGATGGGTATGTATTACCCGGTAACGAGGTTTCTTCTCTTGCTTCAGACGTTCCATCAAGAGATGAATTAGAGGACTGACTACTGCCGCAGTGACAAGAACGAACGGGAGTAGAAATAGAGCTGGACCGAAGACTCTTTTTGAGACTGCTTTTGCTCGTAGTCGTGGGTGCAGAAGAACTAGATCGGCGGCTGCTTTCTCCAACAGTCACAGGAGAAACCGCACGCCCACGAGAGTGGCTGCGTTGGCTAGGCCTCCCGCGTCTTTTGAATATGCGAATCGTGGTTGAAATTGTAGTAGGAGCCGAACTCTGGGGTTGAGAGCTGAAGCTCATGCGAGGACGAACCTGTCGCTTAGTGCTACTCTTTAAGTCCTTGTAAGAAGCAAAACCAAAAAGGTAGCCAAGAGGATCGAACCCCAAATCTTTCAATTGGCTTTCTTTCTTACGACCAGAGGCTGGTTTTCGGTGCTTGGTCTTGGTAATGCAGATGCCTCCAATGCCAGGAAGGTAGAGCTCGCCATCATCGTTGACATCACTACGTGGTTGCTGCGATAAAGACAGTTCCGACTGAAAGCCGGTGCTCCTATTTCTTTGTTAGTGAGAGCCAGAGGACGAGGATGGAGCTGGGAGCCATCTAGGAGAGCAACTTGAAGTATCGTAGAGGATGCTACTTGACTCGAAGAGTGCAAAACAAAGGCAAGTTGGGAACTTACTTGGAACGGTGTCGACACATGCTGAAAGGGACAGCACTCTAGGGTGTATCCTAGGCCTTGTCACTGGGCCTCAAGCACCAAAATATAGAAGGGGCAACATTAACGGGAATGAGAAGTGTAGAATGAGATGATGGAGCAGTATTGGCCAACAGCAATGGGCGAGTTCGTGGTCACTACACAAAACAACAGCCCATACAAAATAGCTGCTGAGTTAGAAAATGAAGGAAAGGTGGCTGCAAATAGAAGAAAGTGTCGCAATAGGAGAGGCGATAGGTATAAAGATGTTCCGAAGGGAGGTAGAAAAGAAGATGTTCCGAAGAGAGGCAGAAAAGGAGGGTGACTGGGATAAGGATGTTCCGAAGGAAGGTAGAGAAGGAGAGAGCAGGTAAATACATGTGTAAGTGGAGGGTGCAAGTGAAAGTTTTCAAGATTGGTTTCAGCTCACTACAAACTTCTCACTGCAAGTTTTCCTGACACGAGAAACAACGTCTTTACCTATCGTGGGAAAACATTAGATGGAGTATACGAGTATACGTGCAAATGTGAATTTGTTAATCCACTTATGAGCAACGTAGACGAATCACCACACAGCTTCTACTTAGGTAACGTACAAACACTATCCGCCGACATCACAAGCTTCTCAGACCATTGCACGGCCTCGTTAACGAACATTTATTGTCTTGCCGTATTTATTCTTTGACTGATCTTCCCTATATGGACACTCCTTTGCTGCCTATGTATGTAAATGTAGGCTGGAGTATGAAATACGAGGAGTTATCATTCTGGGAAGTCCTGAGGTACATGCGTACGTGAGACATGAAACTTGGGCCAGTTCTTCCCTTTGATGACGTGGCCGGAGTCA